TGAAGAATCCTCTCTAAAAATCGCATAAAACAGCTGGAAAAGGTGTCTCTGTAAAAAGTATGAAAGTGATATCCAAAAATGACATAAATGACAAATATTTATAGTTTTTAATACTCCAGGGTCTCTAGAGTTCCAAAATTGAGGCTGGAAAATGACTTGGGCTTCACAAATGGGCTTCTTAAGTCGGAGATACCTAGCCGCGGTCGCAAGAGGTGTGACCTTGGGGAATATGTGCTTGGCCGCGGTCCTGTAGCTTGCTGGCCGTCTTCAAATGTCTCCGGGGTAAATGCAATATTTTGAGATCCAACCGTTGGAATGTCTTCAAACCAAGTGCATTTGAAAGCTGGTTGAGTCTTCTGTTAAGTATCCAATTTTGGGGGTGATCAGACAGTGAGAAGGTCTTTGTCTCTCTATGAAAGTTCTGACGGTCTGAATTTATTTAAAAGAGTCTTTTTTTCCAATTTGCACCTCTTTCTTCCAAATTATCTGAAAATTCTTTTAAAATCCGAAAACATATAAATCCTTTGAAAACCTTTGAAAATGGAGTAAAAACACCTGCAAAAGATATTAAAGTGATCCATAAAAATTGTCAAAATCCGGTGTTATCATAAACCTGGTTACGATGGAAATTTTTTTACAGTTAACTATTTACAAGAAAGGTGTTCCAATACCATGTAAATATGAGTAAAAACATGAAGAAACCCCACTTGGTAATCAAATATTAGCTATTAAGAATTTCTTTAATTCTTATTAATATGCACCAATAATTATAGGTGTCGACATGAAAATTTAATATACAACTTAAAATAAAACTTATAATATTGATAACTATAATAACTTATCGATAATGATTTCAAGTTAGATTTCATACTTTATTCCACTCTCTATATAAAAAAAAAATATAAAATTAATGATAACACTGTTTTTATCTAGAGTTAACACTTAATAACTAATAATAATTAAAATTAAACTTATATAAATATTTGAAAACGAACACTATTATTAAAAAAAAATAGTTTCTCTAATATCTATTAATTACTTAAAAGACGTTGATTAAAATATTACTTTTATGTAACATAAGTGAAAACACATATACATATGACACAACTAAACTTATAAATTTCATCAAAAATAAAACTCAAAACATCAACCAAAAATTCACTTTTTACAGTTTTTATTGAACTTCCAAAACAGAAATGAAGACAAATATTTTACTTTTCACTCTTTTAGTTCTTCTTTTATCATGTAAGCTTAAATTTATTATATTAAAATCGCAGCACTTTTAGTGTCTGTTTCCAAACACACCTAAATTTTTTTAAAATGTTTTATTTTATATTTTATTAAATTTTGAAAATTGGTTATTAATTTAGATATTGTTAGATTTCCTTAAATATATATTATATTTAATTTAAATTTCAAATTATTCAAAAATTTTTAATTAATTTTAATTACGAAAATTTAGATTCAATTTAATTTAAAATTTTAAAAAATATAAATAAATTTATTACGAAAATTTTGATAATAATTTTAGTTACTTGAGAATTCTTTGAATACAGGTTAGATTTAATTTAAAATTTTTAATTTAAATAAAAATTTTATAATAACACAAATGATAAATAAATATTTTATTGTACTTTATCATAATTAATTGTTCTAAAGTATAAAATATTTAATATTGATAAATATTTATATTATACAATAATATGATGGAGCAAGTTAGAGTTAAGCATTTATAATTATAGTTTTATTCAGATTAGTTTGTCAATAAGATATTAAAAAATAATTTGAGATAATTAAACGGATCTGTTAGCCAATTCATAGATATGTAGATTATTTATGTGTAAATCTAAATTTACATAATAACAAAGTTTATAATTAACATTAGATCAATATATATTTAATCAACTCATATCCTTATTCTACTAATATAGAAATTTATACTATTCAAAGTTAAAACATGATAACAAAATTCTTGACTTAAAAAAAAACTAATAATAAAATAAAATTCAATGAAAATTTTCGTGCGGATGCACGGGGTTAAAATCTAGTTTGCTAGTAAAAATAGTACATAATATTCAACAGTCTTCATTAATATATTATAATTATAATTAACATTTGTTTGGAAAATTTTATAGATGCATCAAATATTATGACAAAATATATTTCTGGCGATAAACTCATTTGTCCAATCCAACGGCGAGCCCAGAACTTCCCGATAATGAATTTCATGGAAAACATGCTGCTACATACGACCTTAGTTTATGTCAAGAATGAGCACGTCATTGTATGAGAAAGAATAGGTATATGAGAGATTGTCATAGTTATCGTTGTTATTGTGATTATACTAGAGAATATATTCCCGGATAAACTCGTGTATTTTCTTTAAAATATATATATATATATATATATATTTATGAAAAAAAAATATATTTATTTTTAACTCAGTGTTTGTTCTTTATTTATAATTTACTAGATATATACCCGTATTTATACAGATTTATAATAATATATTTAATAATCCAAAAGAAATTAAAAAATTAAAAATTAAAAACAAATTCTATAACTCGTAAAAAATAATACATTGCTTATATAGAGGCAACAAAGTTTAAAATTTTTTTTGAAGAATTGTATCATTTGTTTTTAATATTTTTAATTTAAATAGGAAAACTTTCTTCTTTTTTTTTAAACATTAGCTTTTAGGATAATTTTTGGTTTAATTTTTATTTGTTTCCTTTTTATTTAGGATTTTATCTCTTATTTTATTTCCTTATTATAAACAGAAATACTTTATATAAAACCATTTATCCTTGAAGATAAAATATTGTTAAATTTCTTAATCTAAAAACTAGTTTATTTTTATTATTTTTTGCTAACTTTAGTTTTAGGATTCAGTCTAAATTTAATTGAATTTTTTTTATACATTTTAAAATTTAATTGATTGATTTATACATGTTCCGATCTGTTTTATATAATAATAATAATAATAATAATAATAATAGTAATAATAATAATAATAATGATAAATGATAATAATAATAATAATAATAATAATAATAATAATAATAATAATAATAATAATAATAATAATAATAATAATAATAATAATAAAGGAAGAAAAAAAATTTTGAGAAAGAAGAAATAAATAATAGAAACGGGTCAGTCAAAAATTTACTACACAAGTCAATTAATAAAATTTGTTTAATTATATAAAAATTTAATAATTTCAACTAATAACCTTACCTTCGGTTGCAAGTAGCACCAAACTTTTTCTGATTTTTTTTTAGCACCTCGCAAAACTCTTTCATAGAGATAGAAACATCTTTGAAAACAAACAAACACATCCTGATCACAATGATTAAGAATGAAAAGGGCCTTGCATTTTAGCTTATATCCATAACATATTGGTCGAGAACTATGATTGTTTTGTATCACTACAAATCTTTCTTCTCGAAGTTCAACTACACCTTGTTGGGGTCGGTTTTCACCCCAAGTAGATAAACCACCTCAGAATGGCTAAGTATGGAAGAAAGATAAATGGGAGAGCCGTGGTCGCCAAGTGGGAGAGCCGTGGTCGCCAAGTGGGAGAGCCGTGGTCGCCAAGTGGGAGAGCAGTGGTCGCCAAGTGGGAGAGCCGTTCTCACCATGACAAGTGGAGAGCCGTTCTCACCAAGACAAATGGGAGAGCCGTGCAGATAGGCCAGTAGGGAGAGCCGTGAAAGAAGACAGGTGGACCGAGCCGCATCGAAAGAAATGGGCCGAGCCCCACTTCAACACTTTTGGGCCGAGCCGTGTATCGGTGCGGTGGGCTAGATCATGTCTCCATGGCAAGTGGGCCGAGCCGTGAAGAAGGCTAGATGGGCCGAGCCGTAAAGAAGCTTGGACGGGCCGAACCAAAGCCTTGAGAGATGAAGCCCATGGAAAACCCTAGGCGAGATGCAAAGGCGGTCAGCCGCACGAGGCGATAAGGAAATATTCTGAAAATCTCGCCCGAGATTTTCGGCTAGGCGGTTTAGAAAGTTAGTATAAATATATGATGTATGCAATTCATTCCGCCAACTTTTGCAACCCTAAGCAATAAGACCTACACACTTTCACAGCAATAAAAATCCTCTTTTGATCTTACTGTTCTTGCGATTACCCTAGAAGTTTCAGATCCCTTAGTTTCTCTTCACAAATTCTTGGTTGTGCGAGTTTTGGCTCACACAATTTGGCGCCGTCTGTGGGGAGACGAAACTTTCTTACTCTAAATCGACAAGGCTTTAAGATCCGAAGAATATGGCGAGCAACGCTAGCGATGATAACAACAACACCGGTGACGGCGTGGGGAAGGACGCTCCAGCATCAGGCACAACGACGGCGACGACCGAAACCCAAGAGGAGATGCGATACATGATGGCTGCGTTGATGAAAAAAATTGACGACCAAGACAAAAGAAACGAGGCGATTACGGCGAGGCTCGACGCGATGGCGGCTGAGCGACAACACTCGACTTGGAGAGCCGGAATCCCCGACCCGATGGATGGAATTCGGAGACGCTTCGATTTCTCGACACCCGCAGAAGCCTCAGGAAGTGGCGCAAGAAATTCCTCGATTCTTCGTCCCCTCGACGAACGTACTCCCGCAGCAACCCGAATCAACATGACCGAGCCGCCTCCACTACGCCGGAACTCCAGGCGACGTGCCGGTGAGGAAGAGGACGATGCGATTGACGTAGACGCCCAGCAGAACGACGAAACCACGAATCCTCAACAAACTGGCTCGGCGCGCCGAATTAGTCAAGAAGAACTCGCCTCGGCACTGAACGGCATCCGGACTGACGACGTCTCCGATCCGACCCGCAGCGATAATCCAACCGAGGTGGAAGAAAACCTCCAATGGATCGAGCAGGCAGAACGCGAAGACGAGCCGAGACGAGAGGAGTGGGAGCGACTCATGCACAAACTCTCGAGCTCAAAGAGCTGCGAGCCTCGATGGCTCGGATAGTGGCTGTAATACGCGCCATGAAATCTCAAGTGCATAACGCGACGAGCGCCGCGCCCGAAATCGACCGAATGCTTGAAGAAACTCAAAGAACCCCGTTCACTGCAAGAATCACGGAGGCCAGGATTCCCGAGCCGGGGAAGGTGAGAATCCCGTTCTACGAAGGAACAACCGACCCGAAAGCACACATCACCGCGTTTCGGATAGCAATGAGACGAGCCTTCACAAAGAACGCCGCTAAACTCACCGAGCGCAAAGTGGATGCCGGATACTGCCTGCTTTCGTGGAACATCTCAAAGGAGCCGCGCTCGAATGGTTTTCGAGGCAGGAGCGCAATTCGATCGGCGGTTTTCAACAGCTCTCCGCTTTGTTCCTCAAACAATACTCGATGTTCATGGACAGAGGAACGTCTGATGCCGACCTGTGGACACTATCCCAAGGACCGAACGACCCCGCTTCGAGATTACATGGCAAGGTTCAAGGCAGTCGTATCCAAAATAGAAGGAATAAGCGACAAGGCTGCGCTCGAGGCTCTGAAACGATCTTTGTGGTACAAATCTGAGTTCCGACGAGAGATGGCTCTCAACACGCCGCAAACGATTCAAGACGCTTTGCACCGATCATCAGACTTCGTCGTGAACGAAGAGGAGATGAAAAACTTAGACGAGCAGTATGAAGCAACGAAAGTAGCAATCCGAAGCTCAATTTTGCCGCGCCCCACGAAGAAAGGCAACCCATCAAACAATACAACAACGTCAAGCTCGGATGAACCTAGAAACGGAGGAGCCCATAACTACCAGGTGGGCGTCGGACGCGGAAGAGGAGAGCCGCGCAACAACACTTGGGGGAGAAAATCCGCCAACTACGACGAGAAGGCTTTCTGCTAGTATCACCAGACGTACGGACACTCAACGGCTCAATGCAGAACTTTAGGAGCAAAGCTTGCAGCCAAGATGGCAGCAGGAGAGCTCCAAAACACGGTCAACCTCAAAGACCTCGTCCCTAACGAACAACAAGAGAGAGCTGAGCCGAGCGGCACGGCGGAACCCGCAAATCCTCCCAGACGAGGTGATAACTCCAAGCGTGACAGGAGAGGCGAACCTGAAGAGCGACCCGAGCCGAGCCAAAGGATCAATATGATCATGGGTGGATCCCAGTACTACCAAGATACCGTATCCTCCATCAAAGCCTATCAGCGTCGAGCCGAGGCAAAAGAGAATTGGACAGAACCAACCGACGTCCCAAACACAGTGATCTCCTTCGCCGAGGAGGAAACGGCAGGAATCGATCGACCCCACAACGATCCGTTGGTGATCGAGTTAACAATCAGGGATCATGACGTAGTAAGGGTGCTCATCGACACTGGAAGCTCGGTAAACGTCATCTTCAGAGAAACGCTCCGAAGAATGGGAATCGACCTCTCCGAGGTGGAAGCAATCCCCAAACCTCTAACCGGATTTTCAGGAGAAACGACGATGACTATGGGAACGATCAGACTTCCCGTGGTAGCTGGCGGAGTCACTAAGATCGTCGAATTCTGCGTCACTGATCACCCAGCAATCTACAATGTGATCATGGGAACTCCCTGGATCAACGGGATGCGGGCAGTACCCTCCACTTCCCATCAGGCGTCAAAACGATCTGGGGGAATCAGAAGGAGTCACGAATGTGCTGCCTAGCCGAGCACAAGTTGAGGAACCCCGTCACCGACGCGCGAGCAGACATAGACCGCAAAAAGATGAAGACAGACAGAGAGCCCGCGAACGAGCTCTCCAAACTCTTATAGCAATTACAGATCGCAGAGAGCCGCGAAACACGCACCGAGCCGGTATGTGACGCAGTGGACTCGGTGTGCATAGACGAGGCGCATCTGGAGCGATGCGTTGAAATTGGAACACAACTAGGAGAGCCACTGAGAAGCAAGCTCCTTTCCTTCCTCAAGGAGAACATCAACATCTTTGCCTGGACAGCGGAGGATATACCAGGCATAAGCATCAACGTAACCTGTCACGAGCTGAATGTGGATCCGACCTTTAAACCGGTCAAGCAAAAAGAAGGAAGCTCGGCCCCGAACGAGCTAAAGCAGTGAACGACGAAGTCGAGAGGTTACTCAAAGTGGGATCAATCGCCGAGGCCAAATATCTGGACTGGCTCGCAAATCCGGTGGTGGTGAAGAAGAAGAAAGGCAAGTGGCGGGTCTGTGTGGATTTCACTGACCTCAACAAGGTGTGCCCAAAAGACAGCTTTCCTTTGCCGTACATCGACCGGCTCGTCGAAGCCACTGCAGGAAACAGGTTGTTAACGTTTATGGACGTTTTCTCTGGCTACAATCAAATTCTGATGCACCCTGATGATAGGGAAAAAACGGCGTTCATAACCGATCGCGGGATATACTACTACAAAGTCATGCCGTTCGGGCTCAAGAACGCAGGAGCAACGTATCAACGGCTCGTCAATAAAATGTTCGCGGCTCAGCTCGGAAAAACCATGGAAGTGTACATCGATGACATGTTAGTTAAATCACTCAAAGAGGAAGACCACGTCGCGCATCTACGGGAATGCTTCGAACAATTGAACAAGCACGACATGAAACTAAACCCGGCGAAGTGCAGGTTTGCGGTCACCTCGGGAGAATTGCTCGGCTATCTGGTAACTCACCGAGGCATAGAAGCAAACCCCAAGCAAATCAAGGCGCTAATTGAAATGCCCTCTCCAAGGACGAAGCGCGAAGTGCAAAGGCTCACAGGTAGAGTCGCCGCGCTAAACAGGTTTATTTCCCGCTCCACAGACAAGTGCCTGTCCTTCTACGATACCCTCCGAGGAAACAAGAAATTTGAGTGGGACGAACGGTGCGAGACGGCTTTCCAGGAATTGAAGAGTTATCTGGCGAGCCCACCGATCTTAGCAAAATCAGTCGAAGGAGAGCCGCTCTTCCTCTACATCGCAGTGTCTGCTACAGCTGTAAGCGGAGTGCTTATCAGAGAAGAACGGTCCGAGCAAAAACCCATTTTCTACATCAGCCAAACACTGACCGACGCCGAGACTCGCTACCCCCAGATCGAGAAGGTCGCCCTAGCCGTCGTAGTCTCGACTCGCAAACTGCGCCCGTACTTTCAATCACATTCGATTGTTGTACTCGCTACGCTTCCGCTACGCTCAATCCTACACAGCCCTAGCCAATCCGGTCGACTCGCCAAGTGGGCGATAGAGCTAAGCGAATACGACATCGAGTATCAGAATAGGTCGTCTGCAAAGTCACAGGTGCTCGCAGATTTCCTCATTGAACTTCCCGCCGAAGCAACGAACGAGCCGACTCTAGATGAAGTGTGGACGCTGCACGTCGACGGCTCGTCGTCTAAACACGGCTCAGGAATAAGAATCCGCCTCACCTCTCCCACCGGAGAAATATTGGAGAAGTCTTTTCGCCTGAACTTCCACGCCTCAAAAAACGAAGCGGAATACGAAGCACTGATCGCCGGCATACGACTAGCGCAGGGAATCGGAGTTCAAAAGATTAGAACCTTTTGCGACTCACAGCTCGTAGCATGTCAATTCAACGGAGAATACGAGGCGAAGGATGGACGAATGGGAGCTTACCTCAGAGTGGTCCGAGAGTTGGTACAAAAATTTGATGAGTTCGAACTCACGCGCATTCCCCGAGGAGAAAACACCTCGGCCGACGCCTTGGCAGCACTCGCCTCGACCTCGGACCCAGACCTCCGACGAACGATCCCAGTTGAATTCATCGAACGTCCTAGCATTGAAAAGGTGGAAGGAGTTCGGTTGATAAATCCTCCCGAACAAGAACCAGAGGACGATGAAGCCATTCCTATGGACGAAGAATGGCTCGGAACTATCCGAGTGTATATCGCCGATGGAGAGTTGCCAATCGACAAATGGGAAGCCCGCAAACTAAAAGCTCAGGCCGCACGATATGTCCTCGTCGATGGCGAGGTGTTTAAATGGAGATTTTCAGGACCTCTCATGACATGCGTCGAAGGACCGGAGGCAAGAAAGATCATGCACGAGGTGCACAGCGGCGCGTGCGGGAACCACTCTAGCGGAAGGTCTCTCGCTATCAAGATAAAACGGCACGGCTATTTCTGGCCCACGATGGTCAAGGACAGCGAGAAATTTACGGCAAAGTGCGAAAAATGTCAGCGGCACGCTCCAACAATTCATCAACCTACCGAGTTACTCTCGTCAATTTCGTCACCTTATCCGTTCATGAGATGGTCGATGGACATCGTCGGACCTCTACATCGCTCGAAGCAGAAGCGTTTTCTGCTCGTCCTCACGGATTACTTCTCCAAGTGGGTCGAGGCCGACTCTTACGCAAGCATAAAGGATGTTCAAGTCGAACACTTCATCTGGAAAAATATCATATGCCGCCCCGGGGTCCCTTACGAGATAGTCACCGACAACGGATCCCAGTTCATCTCAACACGCTTCGAAGCCTTCTGCGAAAAGTGGAAAATCCGCCTCAGCAAATCTACGCCAAGATACCCTCAAGGGAACGGACAAGCCGAAGCAGCAATAAGACGATCCTCGACGGTCTGAAAAAGAGGCTCGACGCCAAGAAGGGACGGTGGGCAGACGAACTCGAAGGAGTCCTTTGGTCTCATCGGACAACTCCGCGCCGAGCCACCGGGGAAACTCCATTCGCCTTGGTCTACGGATCGGAATGCGTAATTCCCCCCGAAGTGGATTTCCCAGGTATCCGACGAAAACTTCTACCAGGACAGGAGGGCTTGAACCACTTAATGATGCTAGATGAGCTCGACCTAATCAACGAGAAGCGCGATCAAGCCTTAATTCGAATCCAGAACTATCAACAAGCGACGGCGAGATACTACAACAAAAACGTTCGAAGTCGAAGATTTAAAACAGGGGAGCTCGTCCTCCAAAAGGTCTTCCAAAACACTGCCGAGAAGAACGCAGGAAAGCTCGGAGCAAATTGGGAAGGTCCTTACAAGGTTACAAAAGTGGTTCGTCCAGGAGTCTACGAACTCGCGACACTAGCTGACGAGGCGTTCCCAAGATCGTGGAATGCAATGCATCTGAAAAAATACTATCACTAAGGATGCAGCACGACCAGCATGAACTACGGGACGGCTTGATCCCTGCAAAGGGTACGTAGGCAGCCCGTCTTCGGACGGGTTCAGCTGTCCCCCCTCCTAAAAAGGGGGGGGGGGGGGGGGGAGTGGGTACGTATACACATACCTCCTTTAACTCTACTATTTTGACTTGCTCACTTAGAAACGTCGCCACTTCGGCATATTCTCAGTTCGTTTTTAATCATCAACTTATTTCACTTTTACCCTTGATTTCTGGTTTGTTTATTATCGCTTCGGCTAGCTTCACATTGTAACAAGCTCGGATTTTTGAATTTCTGTAACTCACCACTTCGGCATGATATCATGACCTGATTACCGAACACCTTTAACGGTCCTCAATTTCAGTTCGGCAAACTAAGCCTTCGACGCCTCGTCTCGTAGCTGGCCACAATGGGGCAACAAGTACAAAGTTCTCTAAACGGACTTTTACCACCTTTCCTAGGACGAGAGTGCAAGTTACATCCTCTACGGATAAAAATCAAAGCGCGCTATACAAATATCAGACCAAAAACGTATCACGTCGCCACGGTTTACTATCGCACACGAGAATATAAGTCGAGACTACATCGCTTTCTCTAAAACCGAAGTAAAACTCTTAAACCCGGATAAACATACTCGTCCTCTCGAGAACACCGGTCCATAGACAGGTTCGATAACACTTCATCCTTGGCTAACAGAAGCAAAACGCCTCGTCGTTTTCACGGCTCGACACCATTCAAAACAAAAACACCCCGTCGTTGTCACGGCTCGGCACCATTCAAAACAAAAACGCCTCGTCGTTTTCACGGCTCGGCACCATTCAAAACAAAAACGCCTCGTCGTTGTCACGGCTCGGCACCATTCAAAACAAAACCGCCTCGTCGTTTTCACGGCTCAGCATCATTCAAAAAAAAAACGCCTTGTCGTTTACACGGCTTGGCAACATTCAAAGCGAAAACGCCTCGCCGTAAACACGGCTCGGCATTACCAGCAAAGATTTGCCTAAACATTATCACGTAACACTCTTTTACCATCAAAGATTTGCCTAGAACCTAAACGAGGTCCTTAAAACAATTCATCCCTTAGCCCATGTTTCGGTCAATTTCGAAAATACACAAGGAAGAAATCAGAATCGCTCTCAACATAACAGCCTTCGTCCTTGACAATTTTTCGTAAACATTTTACAGATTAATGGACAAGTAAGTCCGAAAACGGCTAAGGAAAATATATTCATTAAGCGAAAATAAAGAGTCGGGTGGATAAAGCCGTCCAGGCACAGAACACATAAAGGTTCAAAAGAGAGCGGATAAAATCCTAAGTACAGAAGCAAGCAAGAAAAAATTCGTGAGCCAAAAACTCATGCCGCGGACTGCGTTTCACGATCGGCGAGAAGGTTCGAAGGAATCGGCATACCCGCGTTCGACCCATTCGGGTCCACAACGCCTAAATTGGCCGCTGTCTCTTCGAGCGGCTCGTTGCCGAGGGTGGTGTCGACCGAGTCCGGCGATACGGGAGAGTAATATAGTTCGCCCCGAATCTCGGAAGCAATACGCTCGTACACCTCGTCGTCGGCATATTCACTCTCCCAGCATTTCAGCTTCGCCTCCTCGTCGTCAAGCGTCGGGGCGTCCGGCTTCTTCAGGTCGGCAATCATCGCAAGATTGCCCTTGATATGTCCCAGATCGTTCTCATCATTTTTGGCCTTCTCGAGCTTGACCAAACCCTCCTCCACCTTGGCAAGGCGTTCCTGAAACTTCGCCGTCAGCTCGCGCCTCGCCTCCTTCTTCGCGCGTTTGACCTTGTCTTCGAACAGCGCGTCCTTGGCCTCGATACGCCTTTTAAGAAACGCCACCTCGGCGCTTTTGGCTCTCCTTGCTTCCTCCAGGCGAATCACCGAGGCGGAAACTTTGTTAACGTCTGCTCGGAGAACTATCTTCTCCTCTTCCAACCTCGACACTCGGGTCATCGCCTCGGTGAGTTTCCCCTTCGCTGACGCGGCTTCGTTTTGCGCCTCTTCCAGCTTCACCTTTGACGCCGCGGTCTCATTTCGGGCCTCGTCCAAGCGACGTTCGACCTTAGACAGGTCCTCCTCATACTCAGCCATCAGGTCGTTAATAGCCGCGACAAACTGCAAAGAACAAACTCGCGTTAAACACTTAGCAAAAATTTACGAAAATAAAGGAAAGCGAATAGAAACGTACCTTGGTACCACGCTGCGCCATCGCGCCGTATGACCTCGGCCTCCTCAGCTTCTCCGGAGGAGGAAGACGCGTGTTCGCGTTATTTACACGCGAGAACATGACGGCAGAAGCGTCGGGGTCGTCAACAACCAATTTACGCGCGGCGGGGTCCCCGGGCGTCGGTTTCCGCCTCTTTTTGGACGGCTCGTCCTTCTGGACGGCGACGCCTTTCCCCTTGTCAGTAGCCGAACGCTTTCGGCTAGAGTCATGCTTCTGGACGACCGAAGTCGGTGGCCTCGTCGACTTCGGGAGGGCCAGGATGGCGGATTGCGAAGGAGTCTTACTCCGCGCTGTCGAACCGTCCCCGGACACCTCGGGGATAATTTTGCCCGGTTCCACCTCGGGCACTACATCTTTCTCAGCCACCTCGGCAGTGTCGCCTTCTGCGGCTCGGATCATCATATCCCCTTCCCGGCTCGGAGGGTCGGGTTAAAAGACGGCCTCGGTTTGCACTGGGACCGCCTCGGCTTGCGCCGGAACCGCCTCGGTTTGTGCGCGAGCCGCCTCGGCAGCACGTCTAGCGGCTTCCTCTTCCTCGCGCCTCTTCATTTCTCTAAGGGCGATCACCACCATCTTCTCCCGGGTATCTCTCGAAGAACTTGAGGACAAAGAACTGACAGGGACTCCGGCAAGGATGGCTCGCGCTTTTTCTACTCTTTCGAGGGTGAAAGTTTTTCTCCAATTAACCTTTCGCGCCGAGAGAGTCTCAAACAGTAAGGAGGTCATCGGGAATCGGGGGAAGATAGCACCGAACTGCAAAACAAAGCAAAAAAGCAAAAGTTTCAAAAAAGGAAGAGAATATCAACTGAATCTCCGAGCCGAGGCAAAGCTTCGGGTCAGCTACCAAGTGGTCCCCATGCAGTCTTGGTTCCGTGAACGTAATCTTCGCCGACCGACGCCTCGTTCACCAAGACGTAGAAGAAGCGTTCAGTCCAAAACTGATCCTTGCTGGGAAAACCGCCAATAATCCGTCGCTTCGGCTTATTGGAAATATAGAACCTATTTCCTTTCGGAGCTTTCCTGATTTCCAGCAAGTTCAGCAGGTGATTCAGCTCGATGTCCAGACCGCATTCGAAGCTTCGGACCAAAATGCCGATCATATGCCGTAATCCCCTCGGCATAATCTGCCCAATCGAGATCCCGTGTTTCCAAAGGTATTCAAGGATCACTCCGGGGATCGGGAACCAGAGAAAGCAAAGCTCGAAGAACGCCTCGTACAGAGTGAAGTGATTCTCCGGAGGCTTGTCGGCACGGTCGCTCTTCTCGGGAACGACAAACTCCACCGCCTCGGATATCCCGAAGCGATGCCTCAACGCCTCGAGCGACTCAAGGGAAGAAAGCGTAGAGCCAGGCGAATCGGGCTTTTGTCTTTTAACTCGTGGTCCTTGCCCAGATGTGGAAGCGCCTCGGGACGCCATGAGACGTTCCAACTCGTACTTCGCCTCGAGTAGATCAAAGGGAAATGCTTCCTCCTCGGCTTTTACTATGGCGCGATTAACACCTTCATCAGAAACCGGGTCCTGGGGACGGCTCGTCGAAGCCAACGGCTCGTCATCTGCAGGACCCTCGTTTGATGGATTCGCGTCATTCGACGCCTCGTCAGATGAACGATTGGAAGGGTTCGGCGAAACAGACGCCTCGGAGGATTCTGTTGAACTTCTCGCCTCGGCATCTACGCGGCTCGGCTCGTAATGAAAAAGCGAGTCCAACGAATCGTCTGAGCGGCTCGACATGATTTACAAGTTATACAAGAATTACAGAAGGACTCGGCGAACCTCTGCCTGAAAAAGATCTAGGACGGTGGAGACCTCGAAAACCCTAGCCGGAAAATAAATAAACTAGAGAGAGAAAGAAGAGAGAAGGGAGAGCTACCTTTAGTGAAAACGAGTGAGTCTGGAAATAATGAGGAAGAGTGAAAGAGCTCACCTATTTATAGAAAAAACAAAGCGCGTGAATTCCGCGTAAACCTCGGGAAGCCGTTCAACAGCGCGTGGGATCCGCGGTAAACTGGCTATACTGGACTGCGTCGATGGCACGCGCCGAAAGATTAGGAATTTCCTCTCAGAAGACCAACAGTCAGGGTACCCAGGTTAACGAAACGGCTTGGTATTGACCTTTTCCCTCTTGAAACGCCTCGTCGTTAACGAAACGGCTCGGCATTGAATCTGTTCTCCTGAAACGCCTCGTCATTAACGAAACGGCTTGGTATTGACTCTTTCTCTCTTGAATCGCCTCGTCGTTAACGAAACGGCTCGGCATTGAATCTGTTCTCCTGAAACGCCTCGTCGTTAACGAAACGGCTCGGTATTGACTCTTTCTCTCTTGAATCGCCTCGTCGTTAACGAAACGGCTCGCTATTGAATCTGTTCTCTTGAAACGCCTCGTCGTTAACGAAACGGCTCGGCGTTGAATCTGTTTCTTGAAACGCCTCGTCGTTAACGAAACGGCTCGGCATTGACATTCTTTCTTGAGACGTCTTGCCGCTAACAAAACAGCTCGGCGCGAGCTTTCTCTCGAAACGCCTCGCCATTTGTTCGTCTCGGCATAACCTCCTCAAATCACCTCGTCATGGGCTATCACTATTAAAAAAAAAATTGCCTCGTCTTTAATCTTGCCTCGGCATCCTCGGCACTCCTTGGGAACGCCTCGGCGTCTTCATTCCCAAAACGCCTCGGCGCCTTCATTCCCAGAACGCCTCGGCGTCTTCATTCCCAAAACGCCTCGGCGCCTTCATTCCCAGAACGCCTCGGCATCTTCATTCCCAAAACGCCTCGGCGCCTAACTCAGTGGTTTATCCTACGGTCGGAAATAATGGACCTCGTCACTCTCGCCTCCGAAACTGACGAGCTGGGGGGCTAACTGTTGGGGTCGGTTTTCACCCCAAGTAGATAAACCACCTCAGAATGGCTAAGTATGGAAGAAAGATAAGTGGGAGAGCCGTGGTCGCCAAGTGGGAGAGCCGTGGTCGCCAAGTGGGAGAGCCGTGGTCGCCAAGTGGGAGAGCCGTGGTCGCCAAGTGGGAGAGCCGTTCTCACCATGACAAGTGGAGAGTCGTTCTCACCAAGACAAATGGGAGAGCCGTGCAGATAGGCCAGTAGGGAGCCGTGAAAGAAGACAAGTGGACCGAGCCGCATCGAAAGAAATGGGCCGAGCCCCACTTCAACACTTTTGGGTCGAGCCGTGTATCGGTGCGGTGGGCTAGATCATGTCTCCATGGCAAGTGGGCCGAACCGTGAAGAAGGCTAGATGGGCCGAGCCGTAAAGAAGCTTGGACGGGCCGAACCAAAGCCTTGAGAGATGAAGCCCATGGAAAACCCTAGGCGAGATGCAAAGGCGGTCAGCTGCACGAGGCGATAAGGAAATATTCCGAAAATCTCGCCCGAGATTTTCAGCTAGGCGGTTTAGAAAGTTAGTATAAATATATGATGTATGCAATTCATTCCGCCAACTTTTGCAACCCTAAGCAATAAGACCTACACACTTTCACAGCAATAAAAATCCTCTTTTGATCTTACTGTTCTTGCGATTACCCTAGAAGTTTCAGATCCCTTAGTTTCTCTTCACAATAATTAGTTGTGCGAGTTTTGGCTCACACACACCTCCTGGTTTGAGACGAGAGAAATCTCCAAGGACACACTTAACATGCAGAAAAATCTCACAATCTTTGCAAGTACATAACCATTTATTTAAATTGATCTCTTCTTCACATATATCACACCAGTATTTCCCAATTGCATTTTTTGGCAAGATAAGAAGAGCGGATGCTGATCCAATGTGTACTTTATTTTTTTAGGCATACTTGCACAATGACAATTCAAGTTATAGCCGCATGACTCACAAGAAAACGCTGCTGAATCTACTGATCTGTGACACACATCACACTTGCCAATATATGTTTTGTTACAATGCAAGGGGTGTTCATGGTTTTCATGAGAAGAAGTCAAAGATCAAAATGCATCTTACGTCTAGAACCACATGATCAGACTCGTACCTGAAACCATTGAAGAATTCTCCACAAGCACTACAAGGAAGAACCTTATTAGGGGAATCAATGTCTCCAAAATGCAACGTAAATGGCTTGTTGTGAAACATATGCTATTTCTTTAGGGAAATATTTACGCAGATTTTGTGGAAAAAAAACAATATTGCTCAACTATAGACTGGATCAGAGTAGATAGGAACCATGCATGCTTCACAACGAATGTTTCCACCATATGTAGTACCATCCTTATTGAGATTAAAATAATGTTTTTCATGACTGAAATAATTTATCAGGTTATCACCCACCTCCTTGAATGGTGTTATATCTTGTGTTTTTTTTCATGAATCCCTTCGAGTTATATTTCATCCCATATTTCGTCTCTCGTTGCACATTGTAAATGAACATAGTTAATGCACACTGAACAAAAATAATCCACGTAGAACCGGTTAACACCGTTTAGACATACCGAGCATACCAAATCTCCAAAGCAGAGTTGTCGAGTAAGAGAGATACGATGATCATGGCGATTAATATATATATATAACATGGGGTATGCCGATGCAACTTCGGTGGATCATAAAATCGCACTGGCGGCAAAAGTATGGGCTAAGGTCGCCTTGCATCCCACAAGCATTGGAAGTAAATGAGATTTTTCTTGCCATGAGTGTGAGTTTGTGCTCATGAGTTTTCAGATGTTCAACATTGACAGGTGGTGGAATGCTTGCACAACCCAAGCACACACTAAAGTTACATATGAAACAGTGGTAAAGTTCGTCTTCCAAGTTTAAACCACATAGAAGACATGTGTTATCAGTGTAATCAATTGCTCCATATGTGAGCAACTTAAGAGAGTGTTTGGGATGACAAGGATGATTTAATTCTGATGAATTTTCACATTCCACATGGATGACCACCTTGTACTTAAAACATCTATAAGCTAATTTTCTAACGACTTTTTCCTTACATACTTCACAAAGGTGCTCCGAGTTTCTTGAAATTGGGAATAACACAAGTGGATGCTCATGAGCTTGATGATGTTCAATAGTAAGCGTTGGTGCTTCTCTCGCACAAGAAACATGTATGCTAAAGGTTCTACATATGAAACAATCATAAACTCAATCACCATCGATGCGTCTTTCACACACCCTAAAATCGTAATAAATCCAGTTAGGCATATATCTTGTTACAAGAAAATGTTCGGGATGAGACGTATGATAGATACTAAATGTAAGCACATCATAATCTTTGTGGAACCAAAGATAACACTCGGTGCCCGTTGCTGATGTATCCACCAGTTTTGCACAAATAACACCTGAAAGCAAACCCAGATGAAGGAGTAAGTTTAGCTGCTGTTTCCATGGCAGATGAATGTGACTCAACGCAGAAGTCTTTCTTTTATTTATCTTTTTGGAATCTTTTTTATCAATGGTTATTACGAAGTGGTGTTATTTATAGTCTTTAATAATTCTTTTGTTGGTTTAGTGGAGTTTGGTGTTGGTATTTTTATTTTATTCTGACTTATTTTGATGATTTAAGCGGTTTGCCGATGCTCATAAGATTTAATTCTTGCTATTTTTGCTGAATTTAATTTATTTTGTGTTGCTGCTTTTATTTTATTCTAGCTTGTTTTAAGAGGTTTATTTTGGTTGTTTTGATATTTTTATTAGATTCTTGTTTGTTTTAATTGTTTTAACTTGTTGTTTTTTCTTATTTGTTTCTTTCCTGTTTTAATGGCTTTTACTTGCTTATTTTTACTGTTTTTATTTGACTCTTACATACGCAAAGGCATTCAGAAAAACTGTTGACAATTTTTATATGTGATTCGAAGTAAGCTAAACATTATATTACATCTATTTATGCATAGCACGACTCTGAATGGGCGATATATTGCATCTATAAATAGCTTTCTAAAAGGAAGTTTGTGGTGGACATATACATAGTTATAAGTTATTCATGGAACGATAATGAAAATATATGAGGCTTCTAGGGTAGAATCACTGAAAGATCAAGTACTCATGGCTATGGTGAAAGCATAACAAATTAAAATCTGAATGAAAAATACTAAAGAGCTCGTGAACAATGCCGCTGATTAGTTGAAAATGAGCACGTAGAGCAATTTTTGGAATGTTTCAATATGTGCTTAAGCTTCAAAATTCTAATAATGGATCGACCATCATACATTTAGAAAAAGCATAAGTTTTAAGAAATTCTACGTATCTTTCTATGTTAGAAAATGCGATGGACGAAGTGAAGAAGCGTATAATAAATCTTGGTGGAACATCTCAAAAGACGCATGATAAGTTTGTTATTAAGTGTTGTTGGTCGAGATGCTAATCATGAGATGCATTTTTGTTTGGACAATCGTACATGTGGAGAATAAATCCATATGAAAGTGGTTTCTTAAACCACTATGAGATGATTTGGAGTTTGAAGCAATGGTTCATCTTCTTTTTTTCTTTTTAATAGAAGATGAGCTATAAAAATGTATTACTTATAACCCCTGTTTAAAACTCGGCCGCAGAGGCCACCTAGGTGCAGACAAAACATTTGACAGCGGATATCCGCCGCGATTAGAGGATAGTTGGTGTAAAAATAAAGTAAAAATGAAGAAAACATCATATAAATCATGATTTTTTTTGTTTGAAATATGATGATTCAGTCCAATTTTAAACTGATTGATCATAAGTTCACAACGGCTATTGGATATTGGTCTATGTGGATTCAGAGTCCCATATATATTACTGTAATATGTTATGAACTTGTAATGTATTTGATTTAAAACCTGAGCTATATATAAGTGAGACATGTGAAAAATTTATAACTAAACAAACATATTTTTTTCTAAATATATGTAAAAACCCCCAAAATATATGTCACGTTTTTTTTCTTTCTCCAACTATTATTCGTAAAGTATATATCAGTGATCTTAGATTCTCATAAGTTACGAATCAGATTTTTTCTACGAAATGGAATAACTGATTATTATTCTAAATGGGAAAACCGATCTTATTGTCGATAACATACCTCCAGTCTTCTATTACATGGAATGGACAAACATTTACATTCTTCTTATGTGTATAAAGTATAATCAAACTTTGAAGTCATGTTTTATATATGCGCAGATAAGTCGGTTAAGTTGTAACACAAACATATGAATGATTTCCTCAACCAGCTTCTCAAAATAATATATACATATAACATATGTATGTATGTACATAGACTTCATTACAGAAACTGTTTTATTAGACTTCAAGATCGAATTATTTGTCACTTAGTCTACAAATATCAGTGGACCATAATCTGTATCACTAAGGACTTAAGATGACACAAGGATTCATGTCTGTCTCAAATGAGTTTCCCGCTTCAGTCTCCTCACTGGAGTACTGACTATTCAGAGAAGGTTTTGACTGAATCTGGTAAGTTTCAGAGCTAAAACTAGTGCTGCATCCAGAGTTTTCAGTCAAAGACGGATCAGAAACTTGGACTCCAGAAAGTAAGTATCTTTGGTGGGAATTGCAAATGTGGATGGCTCCATCACAGTCATTACACAGCAATGCTCTGTCTTCTAAGCAGAAGAAGTACCCTTTTCTCTCCTACATGTAATATTATGTGTGTTTTGAGCCATCGGTTAAAAAACTACGCGATTGTTAGAAGACAGAACAGAATCGAACCTGGCAGATATCACAGAGAGGACCTCCAGAAGCTACTGTGGCTGTATTCTTTTGTAGGTCGACTCGGTGATGCCTCTGGAAAAGCTTATTAGCTTCATGTACCTTAGTGTCACATGGCTTGCAAAGAACAGCTTCATCTGAACAGCAGAGTACTTCTGCTTCAGCCTTCTCGCACACTTCGCACTGTATCTTCATCAATCCTTCAAATTGCCAATACAAAGACAGAGCAAATGTTTCTTGATATTTAACAAGAAGTGAATCTAAGACAAAAAAATAAGAAAGAAAAAACTTCAATAGGTTCACATGCTGAGGTTAGACCAACTTTGTGGGTGGCATTTAAATCAATAAATGTTCTGCTACCAAGATCTCCATGACAAGATTCTTAAGAAGCTTGTGTACTTACTTCCCTTTTGACACATATATTGACAGACAAAACAACAAGCTTCTCTTAATTCAAAGCATGACAAGCCAAAAGTAATGGGAGGACCACACAATATGCAAAAGTAAAGACTGTGGATAAAGTAAATAGACCTTAGGCAATGGAGATCAAAAACTCTAGAATGTCAGGATCTAAAATGAAGCATGGCACATTCACAATCTTCCCATCCCTTTCCCATGCAGCAGCCAAAGCTCTTAAGACTCATCTTCAACAACTTTCATCTTTGAATTCCATCAAAATGGTACCAATTATAATCATGGGCTAATGAAAAATAGGCCTGCATAAACCAATATCATGGGCCAGTCCAATCCAATTTTGTTTGGCTCACCATAGTTACATGAAGTCTCTGGAACATGAGAGAAGACCCTCCTCAAAGACACAACAACCCATACAACGTGTAATAACATAATTAGTAACAAATTCCATAGCCAAAAGCTAGAACAATCCCAAAATCTCTACAAAAATCTACCAAAAGATCTTTCAAGAACCTGCTGTAGTCTTCATAAAGTTATTTATATAACACCAGATAACTGGAACTTACAATCCATAGAGAAGAACAAGCAAGTAATCTAAAGTGAAGTCAGAAAAACTAACATTTTGGTTTCCACCCTCTACAAGAAAGCCGATCACTAATCAAGATGAAGCACTTGCCTTACTTTACTCTGTTAAGTCTCTTCATAGGAGCTTTGTTTCTTGGAAACATCAAACCAAATGAAGGGTCTTTGTCATCTGCACTGGACACACCGAGCAGCTGGCTATCGGATCTCTGGCTAGACCGGTTTCCCGATCCATTCAAAATCTTGGAGAGAATCCCATTAGAACTCGAGAGGGACCAAAGCGTGGCTCTATCCCCAACGAGAGTGGACTGGAAAGAAACAGCACAAGGACATGAGATAATGCTCGATGTGCCCGGTTTGAAGAAAGACGAGATAAAGATAGAAGTCGAAGAGAATCGAGTCCTGCGAGTCAGTGGAGAGAGGAAAAGAGAAGAAGAGAAGAAAGGAGATCAGTGGCATAGAGTTGAGAGATCATATGGAAAGTTCTGGAGACAGTTCAAGCTACCTGATAATGTGGATATGGACTCTGTCAAGGCCAAGCTCGAGAATGGTGTGCTCACTATTAACCTCAATAAGCTGTCTCCTGAAAAGGTCAAGGGTCCAAGAGTTGTCAACATTGCAGCTGAAGAAGACCAAACAGCAAAAATCAGCTCTTCTGAATCTAAAGAACTCTGATTGAATAATCTTGTTCATCTCTTACCTTTGAGTGTGAGAAGAGTTATATAAATCTCTACATTTGATGTTGTAACCGATCTACCAAAACCTTTGTAAGCTTGTGTTTCTATATGCAATAAAGGTTTAAACTTTTTGTAAATCTGGGAACTCATAAGATCCCCAATCCAAAGCCAGAAACTTTTCCACCTCTTGGACAAAACACTAGTTAACTCCTAACAGCATTTGTTATCGAATTCTAAGAATAAGGAAGAATTTCACATGAATTTAAAGATAAGACCATCAAAATCTCTATTTTCCACAATCCGAGACCGGAAATTAACTGTATAATGACAGCAAGAGGAGAAGAATGTGAATTCACCTGATGGGTTTAGGGTTTTGGAAGATCCAACGGCTAGAGAATGATATTAAGAAGATCCGACGACAATGAGAAAGTCTTTTAGAGTTTATGCCTTTTCGAAGAGTCGGTTTAAGAAATTGCCCGTTTCTTCTGAAGGTACAATGGAGGAAGAAGAAGAAGCAGACGAGGAGGATGATGACGACGACAAACCCTCTTCTTCATCTGGAGTCTTAGTCACGTGCTCAATTCTGTGTTTGGTTTAAGAGACAACCACACGGTTTATTACCGGTCTAATCAAAATGATAATTAAACGAACTTAACCTGTAAACACATAAAAAAAAGCCAAACAAACTACACTAATGTACTTCACAGACTAAACGGTGATTATAAATGTTTGTAACTTTAAAACAATCAAAGATTTGTGACAAATCATCACAGTCAGTAAACCCCTAAACCCTAAGCATTATCTATTACCGTTAGAATTTTTCTTTGTCAAACTTTCGCTCATTCCAATTTTGTTCTCTCTTTCTTTCTTTCTCTCTCTAAGAAGTTCCTGCTGAGTTTTTGGTTCGATAATGTATTACTGCGATCATAAAGCCGTTGCAGAGAAGGAGATTACTTCTCGTAATTGCTTATGTTTAGTTGATGCCGCCGTTATGTTGTACGAAGAAGATGTTAGAGCCTGTGACTCGAACGTTGGAGATAGGCCCGTAACCTATCGAGCGCAGTCAATAAAGAAAGCGATTTAATGTTTAATGTTGTAAGATAAGATGAAACCCTAAAATTCGGGCTTTAAATACAAGAGTGTCACTCATACGACATAGTTTTGAAATATTAATAAGATAAGCTAAATGGATAAGACTCTCTCTCTCACAACGAGTGTTACACATACTTAGCCACTTTTGTAGTAAGCCTTCCATTCTTTCTTCCTTAAGTTCCTTCCCGAACGCTTCTTCTTCTTCATGTAAGCCAATGGCACAGCGAGCTTATCAATACCCCCCTCAGAAGACTCACCTTGTCCTCAAGGTGAAACTCAGGGTACTCCTCGGCGATCTTGTTAACAGATTCCCAAGAGGCTTCGAACAATGGCAACCCTGTCCAGCGAATGAGTACCTCTGGTGCAGTAGACTGAGTTGTCTTGCGAATGTCTAGCACCTCTGCGGGCTGCGTCTTCCAAACCAATTCCGATGTCAAGATGGGAGGAATAGACTGAACTTTTGCCAGGTCAGGAACAACTTTCTTCAACAGAGACACGTGAACCACCGGATGAATCAGGCTCTGAGGCGGAAGTTGCAGCTTGTAAGCTACCGTGCCAATGCGTTGGAGCACCTCGAATGGACCAAAGTACCTCGGTGCGAGTTTCTCGTTGCGGCGTTGAGCTATCGATCCTTGTCTGTAAGGTCGGAGTTTCAAATAAACCTTGTCACCGACTTGAAACTCGACCTCTCTCCGGTGTTTATTTGCAGACACTTCCATTCGTTTTTGAGCTTTGTGCAAGTTACTCTTCAACTCCTCGAGGATTCCATCTCGATCCTGTAACAACTCGTCAACAGCAGCAATCGCCGTCGGAACGTCTCCATAACGCAGAATGCGAGGAGGGTCACGACCATACAGAGCTTTGAAAGGCGTGCTGTTGAGGGAGGAGTGAAACGAGGAGTTATACCAATACTCTGCCCACGGTAACCATTTCACCCATGACTTTGGTTTACCACCTGCAAAACACCGAAGATAAGCTTCTAAACAGCGGTTAACTACCTCTGTCTGCCCATCACTCTGTGGGTGATATGCTGTGCTTTTGTGCAGTTCGGTGCCCTAAGATGCAAAGATAGCCGACCAGAAGTGGCTGAGGAAAACCTTGTCCCTGTCAGAAACCATCCTCTCCGGAAACCCATGAAGGCGAACCACCTCGCGGATAAACACCTCTGCAACTGTCTTAGCGGTGTATGGGTGCTTGAGAGGTATGAAGTGTGCATACTTACTAAGGCGATCCACAACAACCAGTATGACATCGAAACCGAAAGAGACAGGCAAACCATCGATGAAGTCAAGACTTATATCCGACCATACCTGTTGTGGAATGGGGAGGGGAGAAAGCAACCCTGCTGGCGACAGTGTGGAGTACTTATTGTACTGATATGTCTGACAGTTGGTGATAAAAGTCTCCACATCTTTACGCATTCCTTTCCAATACACCTCACGAGCCAAGCGTTTGTAGGTTTTCAACACACCCTCATGACCACCCACATTACTCGAATGAAATTGCTCCAAGACCTGACGAGTGAAAGTGGAATTGCGAGGCAGGACTAAGCGGCCCTCTTTGAAGAGGAGACCCTCCGCCATGGTGTAACCTGAGGCACAGTTATCCACTGTTAGCGACGCAATGACCTTTTGTAACTCAGGATCATTACTTACCTCTTTAGTCAAAGCCACAGTGTCCAGTGACAAGGGAGTGGTCAGCAGGAGCTGCAGCAGTTGTTCGTCATGGGGTCGTCGGGATAAAGCATCGGCAACCTTGTTGTCAGCTCCCGGTTTGTACTCAATTTTGTAGTTTAGACCGAGGAGTTTAGACGCCCACTTTTGTTGCTCCGAGGTAACAGATTTCTGATCCAACAGGTATTGGAGGCTCCGCTGGTCGGTACGGATGATGAAGGTGTTGCCAGTCAGGTAGTGACACCATTTTGAGATAGCGAAGATGATTGCGAGGAGTTCTCTTTCATACACTGACTTTTTCTTCCCCTTACCTGAGAACCCTTGGCTGATGAACGCAATCGGCCTGTTCCCCTGTGACAAAACCTTTCCAATACCATTACCTGAAGCATCAGTTTCAATAACAAAAGACTTACCGAAGTCAGGTAGGATTAACACCGGCAAGACCGTCATGGCTTGTTTGAGGTCATTGAACGCTTTGGTTGCCTCCTCACCCCAGTTGAATGAATCCTTCTTGAGCAAATCAGTCAAAGGGTGAGCCTTTGTGCCATAATTTTGCACAAATCTTCTGTAGTAGCCCGTCAACCCAAGGAAACCTCTCAGTTCAGTCACATTCTTAGGCGTTGGCCAATCGTACATAGCTGAAATCTTAGAGGGATCTGCAGCAACACCCGCACTAGAGATTACGTGACCGAGGTAAGCAATCTGAGATTGACCAAACTCACATTTCTTGCGATTGGCGTAGAACCGGTTGCGCAGGAGAGTTTGCAGCACTTGACGCAGGTGATGTTTGTGGGCTGTCAACGAGGAGCTATACACCAGTATGTCATCGAAAAAGACAAGGACAAAGCGTCTCAGATACGGTCGGAGCAGGTCGTTCATGACAGACTGGAAGGTCGCCGGTGCATTGGTGAGGCCGAAAGGCATCACCAAGAATTCGTAATGGCCCTGATGAGTCTGGAACGCTGTCTTCTCGATATCGTCCACCTTCATTCGAATCTGGTGGTAACCTGACTTGAGGTCGATTTTGGAGAATATCGTCGCGCCCGCGAGTTCATCAAGTAGCTCTTCGATAACAGGAATCAGAAAACGGTCGGGAACGGTGACTTTGTTAAGGGCTTGGTAATCGACACAGAAACGCCACCCGCCGTCTTTTTTCTTAACCAAAATCACCGGACTCGAGTAGGGGCTAATTCTGGGTTGAATCACCTGAGCGCGCAATATTTCCCCAACCAGTCGCTCGATCTCATTTTTCTGGACATAAGAGTACTTGTATGGTCGGAGATTAATGGGAGCCGATCCTGGTTGGAGAGTTATCGCATGGTTCCGGTGCCTCGCAGGGGGGAGGGATGAGGGCATCTGAAAAACCTCTGCGAACTCCTCGATTAAGTGTTGAATGGGCTCAGGTACTGTCGCCGCAGTCGCAAGCTCAGTGTTTTCGAAGAGGGATGTCAACTCCAGCAGATAGACCACATCGCCATACGGTATCAGCTTCTCCATTGAGTTGAGAGAGATTTGCGATCTGAGTAGGGTAGGATCGCCCACTAACGTAACCCATTGATGATTGATCTTGAAGCTGAGCCGATAGAATTTCCAGTTGATGCGAGTGTCACCCAGAGAGGCTAGCCACGAGTAGCCTAGCACCACATCAGTCGTTCCGAGGTCAAACAAGAACAATTCCTCCACAATTTCGATGCCTTGGATTTCCAGTGTGACCCCTGAACATTTCCCCCGACCAGTAATGACCTGACCATTGCCAACTGAGACGCCGAAACCTCTTGTGTTGGTGATTGGTAACTCTATTGCTCGAGCTAGGCGTTCCGAGATGAAGTTACTAGTTGCGCCGGAATCCACCAACACAATGAGTTCGTGATCAACTATTCTGCCTTTCATCCGCATAGATTTCGCTGCAGTCAGACCCACTAGTGCGTGGAGAGACAGTTTGATGAACTGTTGTCCTTCGACGACCTCAACAGGCTCCTCCTGGTTATCCTGAATTTCATGCAGTTCAAATGTCTCTTCTTGAGTATCATCCGCCTCCAACTCTAAACATTTGAAACGTTGTTGGGATTTGCAACGGTGTCCCGGGAAGAACTGGTCGCCGCAATGCCGACACGGGTTTGATCGTTTGGTGTCCGGACCATTCCCAAGTCGTTTCACGGTGTCCGTCGGTTTTTTGCTTGTGCTCTGCTCGTATGGCTTCACAGAGTAAAAAGGTTGAGGCTTTCCCAGAAGAGGTGACAGAGGTGATGAGTAGTTTCTGTTCATCGGCCTGTAAGCGTATTGATTGCTGGCGGTTTCCTGTTTTTCGATCAACCTAGCAACTGCTACGATGCCGTTGATGCCCGTGGGTTGGCACCTTAGGACTTGGTCTCGCAATGGTTTCTTCAGACCCTTAAGAAACATTGACTCGGCGACATCGTTGGTGATGTGAGGTGCTTCTGCCAACAACTCGTCAAATCTGTCACGGTACTCATCCACCGAATCTGTCTGGGTGATCTCCATAAGCTGATCTACTACAGATCCCCCTTTGCTTGGTCCAAATCGATCACGAAATTTGGTCTTGAAATCACTCCAACTGTGAATCACTTCACGGTCTCGAATGATACAAAGCCAAGTGATAGCGTTTCCAGTTAAACACGCCGCTGCCTGACCGATCTTGTCTTCCTCAGCCGTTTTGTTGGCCAGGAAACTAGTCTCTACCCGATAGAGCCATTCCTCCGCGTTTTGGCCTTCGTACAAGGGTATGTCGAAGAGCTTGTTTGGCGAGTCTTGACGTGTGTCTCCCTGACACGGGGGTTGTTTAGGTGGAGGCACTGGTAGTTCCGTCGCCGTCTCGTCAGCTGGAGTTTTGTCCCCTGATGGAGAAAAAAGCCGACTTTGGGACTGGGAAAGGCCTGTGAACAATGGGGTCGAGGTCGGAGTGGAAAAACTGGAGGTACCGATACCAGCCATCTGAGAGCGAAGCAGATGAGCCAAAGCTTCTCGCACCCAAGACTGTTCCTTTTCCATCTTCTCGAGTCTCGTCTTTAGCGTTGTGTCCGGTTCGGAGGGTTCTTCCACGGTCGGATCCGCCAAGCCTGAGTTATCGGGGTTTGACGTCATCCTGAGTCTCTGATACCAGTGTTAGAGCCTGTGACTCGAACGTTGGAGATAAGCCTGTGACCTATCGAGCGCAGTCAATAAGGAAAGCGATTTAATGTTTAATGTTGTAAGATAAGATGAAACCCTAAAATTCGGGCTTTAAATACAAGAGTGTCACTCATACAACATAGTTTTGAAATATTAATGAGATAAGCTAAATGGATAAGACTCTCTCTCTCACAACGAGTGTTACACATACTTAGCCACTTTTGTGGTAAACCTTCCATTCTTTCTTCCTTAAGTTCCTTCCCGAACGCTTCTTCTTCTTCATGTAAGCCAATGGCACAGCGAGCTTATCAGAAGAACTCCGCCGTAAAGGAAAATCGAAATGCCACACGAAGAAGAAGACGAAGACTCTCTCTGCAAAGGAAGAAGAAAGCGACAAGAGAATCTTCCGTCTTTTCCCGAGAAAAACAAGAACTCCGGTCTTTATTAGAAGAAACCCACAACAGAATCTTAATGGGGCTTCTTCTTGGTCTTCATCGTTTCTTCTCGACCCTAACACGATCCCGGCTGATTCGAAGACGAGAAACCCACAAAACCCTAATGGGCTTTCTTCTTCTTCTTCTTCATCGTTCCTTCTCGACCTCAACACGATCCCGCCTGATGATTCCGAGACCCAAAACCCTAATGGAGCTTCGTCTTCTTCTTCATCGTTTTTTGGAGATTACAAGATCGCGGCTAGGTCGTCTTCGAAGATGATGGACATGAGAAACTCACGAAACCCTAATTCCCAATCGTCTCTGTCTTCGTGCCTAACGGAGAACAAACCCCACAAGAGACGTGCCACACAAGATATCAAACCTATTGGTAAATCCAAGAAAGCAAAGGTTGCTACTTTTTCATGGATAGGGAGAGAGACTCCTGAATGGCTAACCCTGCTGATGAAAGACACTAACGAAACTGTAGTTAAGTGGGGAGAGAGAACTGACTTGAGGCTAATCTTTGAAAGGACTCTGTTCAAAACAGATGTCAACCCTGGCGAGAGCCGTCTCTCCATGCCTTTCAACGAGCTGATTCAAAAAGACTTCTTGACCCCTGTCGAGTTTGGAATCATAGAAGAAGACATCAACAGTGATAAGAAGATGGGAATTGGAGCGATTCTGATTGATCAACAGAATGTAAAGTGGGGTGTGATGTTGAAAAGATGGGAGATGAAGAAAGATTCAGGAAGAGGAAGCTGGAATTACGCTTTGACTTGTGGGTGGAACGAGATAGTCAAGGCTAATGGATTGAAACAAGGAGACGACATCAGTATTTGGTCATTCAGGTGGGGTGGTCTCCTCTGTTTTGCTCTTGTTACTCCTCCTCCTTCCATGGCACAGAGTAGCTCTTCCCTTGTGGTCTAAGTTTCAGGCAATTCTCAAGGTTTTTGGTTCTACTAACTTGTTAAAATTGTAATTAACAAAGCAGCTCTTTCTCCTCTATTATTAGTAACTTGTCCCTTTGTATTGTTTCAGAGATCTTTACTATCGTATGAAAGAAGTTAACTTTTGACTTGAACCTCGTTTCTTGTTTGGTTTCTGCACTGACTAATTTCTTGGAATGTAGAGTGTCTTGATCGTTTGTTAAAGCATTTATAAAAGACAAAGTATTAGATCCATGTTTTACAATCGAAAGTTGAATCAAAGCTTAGAAGAAAGAATAGAGAATTTAGATTTGTTTAGTCTCTCTTTTATCATTAGGCAGAAACTTGAAACTAAATTATTCAGATAACAGAGAAAACCCAAAAAAGATTGACCGGAGTCCATACAAAAATGAAGAAGCATGAGTACCATTTGAAAAAAATGAAAAATTTATGTAGACTTAGAAGATTTCATGAGCTGCTGAGCATCAGATGGAGTGGGAAGTGCTGGGATAGCTCCTTTCTGAGTTGTACACACAGCTCCACAAGCATTTGCAAAGGCAAGAGCTTCCGTGAGCTTTCCTTCATCCTGCAACATTTCATTACACAAACATCAAAAACTCAATTCTTTATGCTTGAATCTAAGACCTGAAAAACGTCTGCGGTTATACTTACATCGAGTATGGACCCATCTTTGCCAAGTGAGACAAGAAATGCACCAACAAAAGAATCACCAGCTCCAGTTGTGTCAACTGTTTTCACAGAGTATCCAGGCACTCTCCCTTTGAATTTCTGCGTTTTAGCAATCGAATATAAAAACTGTTATATCTCTCTAAAAACTTAAAAAGGCACAATCATGTTTGCATTTGATTACATTTTTGTTACCTTTGTATAGTATCTGCAACCTTTCTCTCCATCAGTTACAATAAGCAGCTTGAGCTTGTCATGCATTAGAGACAAAACAACATCATCTTTCTCTGCATCTCCCCTAGTGAGGAATTCTACCTCGTCATCACTTACTTTGATAATATCAGCCTCATTCCAGATGCTTTTGATGCCTTCAATGGCAGCTTCAGTGGACGGCCAAAGAGGCAACCGAACATTCGGGTCATAAGAGAGTAAAACTCCTGCGTCCTTGGCAGTTTTCATGGCAGCCATGTGAGCTGCTCTGCAGGGCTCAGAGATCAAGCTAATGGAACCGTAGTGGAAAATCTTGGCTTTCTTGATAAGATCCTTGTTGAGCTCAGATTCTTTCAAGAGCATATCAGCACTAGGGTTCCTGTAAAACATGAACTCTCTCTCACCGTTCTTTTTCAGTGTCACAAAGGCCAAAGCAGTCCTTGCATTGGTCTCGAAGCAAACTCCTTCGCTGTTCACACCGTTCTTCTTCAATATGTTCACAAGCATATGTCCAAACTCATCGTCCCCAAACTGGAGAATCATCACACAACACACAGATCACTCTCTGTGACCATCCATCAATCTACAGACAACAGTTCCAACTAAAGAAAAACATACAAACCTTGCCGATGAAAGCGGATTTGCCGCCGAGTTTGGTGATGGCACAGGCAACATTAGCCGGAGCACCACCAGGGGCTTTGAGAAAACCCGTGGATTCAGCCAAGGAAACACCAGAAGTGTGTCAGGGACAAAGTCGATAAGCATTTCACCAAAGGAAACAATCAATGGAGTAGCCATCTTTTGTGAAGAAAAACAAACCCAATTTACTCAAAACAAGAAATTAAATGGAAGCTTACTTAGAAGTAAGAACAAAAAACACAAAAGAAAGAAGAATCCTCTCTTTATTAAGCTGGAGAATGTGCAACAGATGGCAAGTAAAGTGGGGATAAGGATTTAAACAAATCCCTAAAATGCAGTAAAACTCAGTCCAAGCTTTGACTGTTAAAATAACACCCTCCAATTTAGGGACCAAAACTATCACAATTCTTAAGTCATCTCCATATCGAGTAAAGATCAAGACTTTATTAAAGCCAAAACCTGAATCACATCGTACCAAATCTCCTGTTGGTAGTTTATAAAACTTTAATAAAACTGGCGACTAAGAAATAAGTCACAGTTTTTACTTTACAAATCTGACTTGAACAAGCTTTAGCGAGATCAGAAAGGAAATGAGATTAATTATTAGTTTAAGAGTCACCATGCAAAGCAAATTCTATACGTTTCGACTCAAAATTTGAAGGGTTTTAAACCCAAACAAGCCATCATTAAAACACTAAAATAGAGCCTCTTAGCTTGAGAAACGGACCTTAGATTTGATGTAGAAAGATATAAACATAATCTCCATCCACATTCCAACACCATAGGTAAGCTACTTTCAAAGTAGCAACCATACATTTAGAAATGAGAGTTTAACTACTCCTCTAAGCTATAATGTTTCTTCACGGCTTCAGTTATCTCCCAAACAACTCTCATGTCTTTAGGGAAAACAACCACATCTCCTTTTCCTATCTCAAAGGCTTCTTCTTCTTCTTCGTATCCGTCTACATTCACTTTGATCTTACCTTCCACGAAATACATGGTCTCTGTCTTCTTAAACGTCCATGGAAACTTGCTTGGACTACCTTCCCACCTGCTCAGTTTACATCACAATTCAGTCTCCAGCAACAAGAATGATACATCAACATCAATTGCATTTGCCCTTTCCAGTTTTTACCAACACAAACTTAAATGTTTCAGACACAACCAGACCTAAATATATAAATATCAACAGCAGATTCTTTAAGCTAGAAATCAAGTTTTCCTGAGCTAACAGTGACTAAATTCGGTAAAATTTGGCTCAACACTAACAGTATAAAGTACATTTCGATGAGTTCCGAACATTTTGAGGAAACCCTAGTCCCTAGTCCTGTATCTAGGCCATTGAAGCGTAGATACAGAACTACATGTTTCAGACACAATCAGACCTAATTAGATAAATGTCAGCAGATTCTTGCAGCTAGAAATCAAGCTGTCCTGAGCTTAGCAGTGATGAAATTCGGTAAAACTTGGATCGATACTAACAGTATAAAGCTTGTTAATTTCGATGAGTTCCGAGCATTTTGAGGAAACCCTAGTTCTGTATCTACACCACTGAAGCAAAGAGGCAGTAATATAATCACAAGTCGAAAAAGGGAACAGACTTGGGCCAAGAAGCGACGCCTAGTTGAGCAAGTTTAGCATCGGAAGCTTGTCGCAAGATCTTGACTCCGTGGATTTCAGTGGGAATCGCAGAAGCGAAACTCGATTCGGAGGGAGATACGATTGCTTCTTTAGGGTTTAGCTTTGTGGTGATGATGAAGGAAACGGAAACGCAGACGATTACGAGGAGAAGAGGCAACGTTAGGAATTGATTTCCCATTGGATTTCACTACTGGGGAGTGTGGAGTGGATTGAATTTGAAAGAGAAATTAAAAAAGTTCCAGCTTTTACAGCAATGTGATAACTTTACCAAAAATGAGAGAAGCTTAGTGGTTTTTTTCTTTTATTGGTTTACTGTTTAGATGGTAACAGTTGGATTTGGCCCCAAAAAAAACATTATTGAAATTGGTCGAATCTTGCAAAATATTAAGTTATTAACCATGATTTGTTATTTCTAGCTAAATCTCAAATTAGCAGTATAAAAAAGTGAAAAATTATGTCCGAAAAAGAAGGTAAAAATTTAAGAGAGTTTTTTTCATCTCTCTTCTCTCACCTTCGAGTTTTTTTTTTCTCATTTTTGCTATCAATATTGGACATAATAATTCTGTTCAACGGATTTAGAATTCTGGCGATGACCGGATTTAGTTTTCCATTATTAAATTTCCTTTTGTTTTCTAAGTTCGATTCTTCAATTTTATGTGAAGATATTTCTTTGTTAGTCTTTAGTGGAGTAAATAATTTCTTCCCAACTGAAGAATTGGTTTTCATGGATTTAATGAGATAAATAATTGGATTTTCGGTTTCGGATTGTGTGTTATTCATCTGCAGATCTCGAAGATGGTTAAAATCTACTTCTTCATCTTTTGGTTTCATCCGCTCATTTCGGCCAAGAGTTATATCTATTCTAAATCCCCTAGTGAAGAAGCCTTTCATGGTGGAGGATGACATGTCATGAGATCGGTGATAATCGGTAGCGACTTCAATGGAGAAGTGTATTTAAATTTTTAAAATAGATTTCGTATTGGGCTTACGGCTCAATATGACCTAAGCAAATAGCACCAGACCTCGAATCCTTTGGATTCAGAAGATTCAGCACGAAATGCCACCTGTTACCGGGTTCCTCATATCATGACAGTGCAAACTATCATGATACGTTAAGTCCCGTCATCAAACCTGCCACAATAAAGACGGTTCTCAGCATCTCTATCACAAATAATTGGCCGATATGTCAACTTGATGTCAACAATGCATTCCTTCAAGGAACACTTGATGATCAAGCATATATGATGCAGCCGCCAAGATTCATCGACAAGGAAAATTCTCAAACGGTGTGTCGATTACGGAAAGCTATATACGGTTTAAAGCAAGCTCCAAGAGTTTGGTACAATGAACTACGTAATTTTTTCCTACAATCCGGATTCAAAAATTCTATGGCACATGCATCATTATTCATTTACAACAAACAAAGAGTTTTAATATATGTGTTAGTTTACGTTGATGATTTAATCGGTTTATTACTTCTCTTTCACAGCAGTTTTCTTTAAAAAAGTTTAGATGATTTATCTTTCTTCTTAGGGATTGAAGTTCATCGAAATGTTTATGGAATTCATTTAACACAAACTTGTTATATTGCAGATCTGTAACATTGTACAAATATGGAAAATTGCAAGACAGTGACAACACCAATTTGTCCGAACTCATCACTTTTGTTGACTTTGGGAACAGCTTTGGAAGATCCCACAGAATTCCGTACTGTTGTAGGAAGCTTGCAATATCTTTCGCTCACAAGGCCTGACATCTCGTTCCCCATCAACAAACTGTCCTAATACATGCACAAACCAATGACAGATCACTGGACTGCAGTCAAATGATTTCTCCAATACCTTGCGGGAACAATGGCGAAAGGAATATTTCTTCCCTCCAACAACACTCCAACACTGCATGTTTTCACGGACGCGGATTGGACTGGCAACAAAGATGATTACAAGTCCACCGGAGCCTAGATAGTCTATCTTGGTTGCCATCCTATAGCATGGTCGTCGAAGAAACAAACTGGTGTTGCAAAATCCTCCACTGAAGCTGAGTATCGCTCAGTGGCATCAACAACATCTGAAGTGATTTGGGTTCAGTCACTACTATCCGAGTTTGGAGTTACTTCACCTTCTCCTCCGATGATATACTGCAACAACATTAAGGCAACATATCTGGCAGCCAATCCTGTCTTTCATTCAAGAATGAAGCATTTGGCATTGGATTATCATTTTGTCTGCAACTATATACAAGCAGGCCAGCTTGGAGTATCTCATGTTTTCTCTACTGATCAACTGGCCGATGCACTTACAAAGCCTTTATCTAGAGCTCGGTTTGAGTCTCTCTCGGTCTAGATCAGACTCTCTTCTCCTCATCTGTCTTGAAGAGGTGTGTAGGAAATATAGCCGGTGTATATATCTTAGATGGCATATATTGAGGCTTTTTAATTAGGATGAATATTTCATTTCCTTAATGTCGCTTGTACACTCTGTATATATTCAAAGGTTTCTCCTTCAATATGATTATGAAATTCCATAATCATTATACTCTTCAAGTTCTCTATTATTTTCTGTCTTGACCTTTCAATAGTTTGATGGTTGTTGGAGCTTTCTTGGTTTTGGAGACGAGTCTAGACTCTAGCCATTTTAGATTCTTTTCTCTTGCCGGAATGTGGCGGCATCCGGTTACTTAAAATTATTCGGTCGAACTAACCGAATAAAAAAGAGATTGCATCTTTTTCAGAGTTCTTACAACGTACAAAGTTTTCTTTCTGTTCAGAGTTCTAAAACGGTTCATCTTTGTATTTTTCTTCTTTTGGTAAGAAACGGTTATCATTTAAAAAAAAATTGATAAAAACATGTGATTCTCCAAAGCATTTTTAAAAGTGTTAGAAAAGATTATGGATGCGAAATCACAAATCAAAAACTTATTATGAAAATATACGACTTTTCAGTGCATTTTCTTAAGATTATAAAATGATGTGTATAAGTGAAAATATAGAGAACAAAGATTTGATAACCCTTCAATACATTTTCCAAAATTGTTATTATTACGTAGACATATATATATATATATATATATATTGAATCCTTAAATTAAAACAGATTTCTCGACGCAAACAAAACAAATAGATTCCTCGTGACCGAAACATGAATTCGTTATAGATATATATAGAAACAAAAATAGTCCAAGCGGCTGAAGAGATGAGGCATGAATGGTTCAGGTTATACCATGATAAAAATAAAATAATCTGGTTCATGTAATCCACAAGAAAAATACAAATTGTGTTTCGGTTGCACTAAGAAGCAGAGAACTATTCTTATAAACGAGGAAAAAAAGTGAGAGGTATTATCAGTCGGTGCTCACAAAATCCAACAAACAAACACCATATCAATGGCTGCTGAGAAATTCGGGATCACAATTGAGAAGAATCCACCCGAGTCTACACTCACCCAACTCGGTGTTCGTAATTGGCCCAAGTAAGCTTTCTTGATCTTTTTTTTTTGATGTAAAGCTTTTCTTGATGTTACCTCTCGATTTTTTTATCTGTACGAGAAAGTTCTTTAGCCTTTTTTATTGCATGGAGAAGAAAGCTTTTAAGCTTTTGTTGTTTTTGTCGTGATAATTCGAACTAGGTGGGATCTTATTCCTCCAAGCAAGTTCCCATGGACTTTCAGTACAAAGGAGTCATGTTATTTTCTTGAAGGGAAAGTGAAAGTGTATCCTGATGGATCCGATGAGGCCGTAGAGATTGAAGCTGGTGACTTGGTTGTTTTCCCTAAAGGATTGAGTTGCACTTGGGATGTCTCTGTTTCTGTTGATAAACACTACTTCCGTTCTGAGTGATAAAGGGCTTCACCATCTTTGTATGTTAATGATCATCAATATATACTTTAGTTTTGAATGTCATGTGACCACTGTGAAATAAAAAGGATGAAGATAGATATTACATTTTACCAGTAATATTTGCTACATATATCTGCTCATTCTTCTACTTTCTTTGCTATATTCACATTTCACATAGCATCAACTTTTATAAGGAACTGAAACTGAAAATTATAAAAACTGTTTATACAAAAAAGACATATATTACAAACTTATAGAAAAGTGACATATTAATGTGAAAATCTTCCAATCTCACATTAGATTAAATTTTCTAGATTAGGACCTTCTTGATGTACATGTTAATGTATAAAATATTTCTTAAACTGGTAATCCATGTAACTATGATATGTATATTTGGATTTCCGAGCTAGATTTAGTTATTCAAAAATTATATTTCGTAAATTGCAATTAAACAAATTAGATGTTGACCCCGATTATTTATAAACCGAATCCCTCTAATTCCAAGAACAGATGAAGTCTTATACTCCCTCCGTTTCATAATAAGTGTCATTCTGACACATTTCACATAGATTAAGAAATTAATAAAATATACAAATATACTCTTAATTAATATACTTTTATAACATTTAATTACAAAGACTATTATCTTTAAATGAGGGGTAAAACCAAAAATAAGGGTAAAAAGTTACATTGAAAATGCAGAATTTCAATGCAGAATGATATTCTTTTTGAAACAAAAAATGAAATTTAAAACGACACTTATTATGAAACAGAAGGAGTATAATTTAAAATTGAATCTAATTGATAAATAAACACCATTTTTTTCCAAAAATATAATATTTGGAAACTTAGTTATTCTAACTGTTTAAATTCTTTGTTAAAGAATTTATTTATCTAGGTTTAATGGACACAAAGATTTCAGTGCAGTTATAGAATGATTTCATTTTCTCATGACAAGTTAAAAATAAAAATAAAAACTTGGCGGCTGAAGAGATGAGGCACGAATGGATCATGTAATTACCAAGAAAATAAAATAGAAAATAAAAGAAAACATTTGGCTCATGTTATATGATGTTATGAATTGAATTATGATGCCAAAAAACAAAAAGGAGTTTCGGTTAGAGTCGGAAGCAAAATGGGTTGTATCGGTCTTGTCAATTCATCGAGTATCAATTTTTATCGGCCGGTGCTCACAAAAACATCACACAAACCCTACAGCTCAAGAGGATCCATGGCTGCGATTCGAGCCGAGTCAATGGCTACTGAGAAATTAGGGATCTTAATTGAGAAGAATCCTCCCGAGTCCAAACTCACCCAACTCGGTGTCCGTAATTGGCCCAAGTAAGCTCTTCTTCATCTTCGCTCTCGATTCGAACCCAATTTAGTATACACAATCATCTTATACTTATGTTTTGACTGTTGAAATAGAAAGTTTGAGCCTTTTTGTTTCCCGGAGAAGAAAGCCTTCAGCTTTTTTTTTTTTTGGTTGTCACTTGTCAGTGTGGATTTTCATGGCAATTTTCTTGTTTTGTGGGTAAACTGGAGTAAGTTTATGGACAAGTACGTCCTCTTTTGGTCTGTTTGTTTCTCAACAACCCAAACAATTGTCAATTTTAAGCTTCGGATTCAAATCCATATGTAGTCATTCATCAGTATGTATCAGTTCAGATCCATCTGAAACTGAAAGTATTAACCTTTTTCTTGCCCGGAGAAGAAAGCTTTACGCTTTTTGTTGTTGTTGTTGTTGTTGTTTGTTGTCGAATTGGATCTTCAAGATAATGCCATATGTAGAAGCCAGACAGCTCTGCAGTTTTCAGTGTCGGTTTTTCATGGCTTATGGTATTTGCTATTGATAATGATGGTCACAGGTGGGGTTGTCCTCCAAGCAAGTTTCCATGGACTTACAGTGCAAAGGAGACTTGCTATCTGCTACAAGGGAAAGTGAAAGTGTACCCTGATGGTTCCGATGAAGGCGTAGAGATCGAAGCAGGTGACTTTGTTGTTTTCCCTAAAGGAATGAGTTGCACTTGGGATGTATCTGTTACTGTTGATAAACACTATCAATTCGAGTGAAATGCATCTCAATACCTGCTCTGCTCTGCATATCGGTGAATTCGATTAGGCGTGACCATCTTTTGTATATTGGGATAGATGCTTGGTTTTGTTGGTCCTGTATCAGTCTATGCGTTTGTTTGATTTCATATAAATGATTTCTCGTTTTTTCCTGCTAGTGGCGCTAACTCGTCTATCTTCGTGAACCAAACATGTAAACTAACAGTTACAAAGCTAGCTCCTGGAAAGCTTGAGCCCACTCTACAAAGATCTCTGAGCTACCTCTTAATCTTCGAAGACAATTTCAATTAGATAGCAAAGCAAAACATTTGATCACCTAAATGGAGCATGATAGCTTAGACTTTCGTCTCTCTAAATTTCATGATAAAATTGGTAGAAGGAAATCTTTCGATTTGTATGAACTGGAAGCTTCAGAACCCTAAAAGTCGTCCAAAAGGCCCAAATTAGCATATCAAAAGGTCTGAGAAGGAAGATAACTAGAGGAGGTATGAGAGAAAGGTGCAAAAATAATGGGTCGTGCCATCTTGTGAATGGCCCACATATCCGAGCTGCGAGCAAAATCGAAACCATCGGTTGACAACAATAATGACGAAATTAACTGTATCCCTAAAATAAAATGACCAAAAGCATGGTACTTGGCCAAACTACTAAAAGACTAACTTTAGTAGTAGATAAGCTTTCAGTTCTACTTGACTTGGCCAAGGTATCCCTATGATGTTGATTTCTCTATGATTGTTTTTTTTGTCAGCTTTTTTTGTCAGCAGATTTCTCTATAATTGATTTTTTTAAAATTTAGTATAAATGTCACTCTATGATGTGATCTCTCTATGATTGTAGAGAAGAATTTTCATAACATTCATTCTTATCAACAATCATTACCCATGCTTCAATGCCAATCTATTAAATATAAATTCATATTTTTATTTTATAATTAACATGATCGTAATATGTATCAATCAAACAATCGGATTTTAACACAAGAATCTTATATATTTTAAACCTTATACCGTTATATTTTTAAATTTGATTACAAATGATCATGATATGTATCAGTCAAATAATCAAATTTTAACACAATAAAGAATCTTGTACAATTTCAGAATTTTTAATTTATTAAATTTTTCCTTTTGCTAATACTTTAGATCCTAGAGAAGTTAAGTGAAGTAGTAAGAAACAATGTCAGATATGGTAAAAAAAAAAACTAATTCAAATAGGAACAAAAAAATCAGCTATTCAAAGTTTTGAAAAAAAAAATGAACAGTTTAATGATATAAAGTATATCTTATTCAAATAAAAAAAAAATTTGAAAACATATAACTAATCTAATTAGAAATCAAATTATATATTGAAGAACCAAATCAATAACTCTTATATTATTTTGTTGGCAGCTTCGCATATTTGTTCTTGATATTATTTGATCTTATATCACGAATGATCTGATTCTACCTCGTGATTATTCATTTTCGTTTTTGTATTATCCTAATCTAATTGTTTATCCTTTGCAATCCGGAAAAAAGCTTAAAAAACTTTTAACTATTTAATATTTACCAGTTTCTTATCCGAACTTTTTACGTTGCCAGAAACCTACACAAACTAATTTTTTTGATAAAAAAGTTTCTCGAAATATTCACGGTCGTTGACGATCAAACAGACTTAATAAGCTCCGTTAGTTTCCAAAACAAGAAAAAGATAAAAAAGAAAATCATCAGTTTAATCTTTGCTAAAAAAATACCCAAACTTTTAATGTTGACAAAATCCACCCCAAGCTAATTTTCCAGTGTAAGAAAATCCTGAAATATTATATGGTTTCAGCTTCTACCCCCATTATTTTACATTTATTTATGGTTTTCCCCAACTTCATTCACTGATGGTTATTCATTTGGCATTGGTTAGTTTCTCATCATAGACCACATCTATTCCGAAAGGCGATTTGAATATAAACTCCTAACTAATCAACTCTTTGGAATGGTGATCTCAGTGGTTCATAATAGAATAATAAATATAAATTAGCAAGTGATTAACTGAGATAAAGTCTGATAGATGTTTTTGATTATCTACAAAGATCATCTCAGTGGAGAGTAAAGCAGTCTGAAATTAAAAATAAAACACTCATCTGCAGAATCTTTAGCCATAAATATGTCGTAATTTCAAAAGAAAATGTATCGTAATTTATTTCGAATTCTATTGGTGACAATTTTTTTTAGTTGTTATAAACTTTTTGATATTTTGGTTTTTAAATAAAGTGTCATTTAACGTTAAAGAAAAAAAAGGTAATGTGGATTTCTGATAACGTAAAAAGTTCATGTATTTTTTTGGTAAAGATTAAATAGTTGAGGGTTTTTTTAGCTTTTTCTTATTTTGGAAAATCACGGAGTTTACTAATTCCGTTTGAACGTTAACGGCCGTGAAATCGTGGGGTGAAAATTGGAATCATAAAATATTTCAAGTAGTGTTTTGATCTAAAAAATTAATTCGTGTAGTTTTCTGGCAACGCAAAAAGTTCGGATGGAAAACTGGCAAATATTAAATAGTTGAGGATTTTTTAAGTTTTTTTTTCCCTTTTCCACTCTTTCCCCTTGGAACAAAAAAGCTTAGTTACTTCCAATGTATTAGTCCACAATGCGCGCAAGAGAAGGATAGGTAAATCCTTCGATGGAACCTCACAACATTTCTCACATTTAATAATCACCAACCAATTTGGGTAAAATACAATAAAGATATCCGTTCTTATATGTAAATCAAAATTTATTTTCTGCTTGGTTTACATATATATACAACATATAGAAAAATATGTAAGCCAAGCAGAAAAAAAAATTACCGGTTGTTTTATGGACATGCTTCTGCATCAGTCTTCAACCTCAGTATTGAATATAAAACTTGGGAATGCTGTTGTCACATCCCTTCAAATTCAAGTAGATAAGTGTTGGTCATAACGTAAAGGCTTTGTTTTTAATGACTGAGTTAATCTAACAAAGAGAGTAGATTTGGTACTTTAAGTAAGGAAGAGTCATATTCTTTAACAAGGTTGGATGCTTAAGCACATAAGTCTTCCACTCCTCCTTGCTAATTTTACCATCCCCATCCGAGTCCGCATCAGCAAATGTCTAGCCAAACAAAAAAAAAGTAGAGAAAAGATAAACATACCAAAACATGATTCATCACTAAGATAAATTATTTCAAATACACTCACTTTATCGATAATCATGGTTAGAAGTTCATCTGACAGCATCAAATCAGATTCCATCAAAATAGCAGCCACCATTTGTTGTACCTTAACATTTAACAACTTCAACTTTTTATTTAGCTTAAAAAGACAACTAAGAAATCAAAATGGGCAAGGCACATAATGTTTACCTCTTCGCGCTCGATAAATCCGGTTTGTCTCAAATCATAGAGCCTAAATGCAACTGCCAACAGATTAGAAACATATGTTTGAGACTCATATCCATGGGTTATATGACAAAGCTTTGCTATATATAGGACATTGAGTTTTTTTTTCCATGATCCTTACAGTCGATCTTCTCCTCCATTGGTGCATAAGGATGAAAGACACTTAATGCATGGATAAATTCCTCAAACTCAATAACCCCATTCTTCTTTTCATCAAACAAATCGAAAACCTACATAACATCAATTTATATATATATATAATCATAACTTTCATCTCAACAAGTCCAAGAAACCATGAAGTAAGCTATTTCGTCTCTCTGAAGAAACACACTCACCCTATCAAGAAAGATGTTCTCACCATATGGAACTTGGAACAGGGCCAGTCGAAGCTCTTCCTACAAAACAAGAATATATCAAAATTCTCATAATTAATCATTTCATAAGAGGGAAAAAAAACAATGACACTTTTATGAGATGAGTAATGATCAGCTAAAAGAGCAAACCATTCATTTTGATTTGAAAGCAATCACACATTAAAATGTCAAACAGATGAATATTCTAAGATACTTTCCAAAAAGAATGAGAGAAAAACAAAAAAAAAAACTTACCTTGTGAATCAAGCCGTCATCAATAATTGAACAGCTCAATTTCTTGAAGAGCTCAAACAAAGCTTCAACTTCATTGATCGAAACTGCGTAAAAGCAAACAAAACAAACCAAAGCTTAGAAAACTTTTGAACTACAAAACAAGATAATTTCCAAAACCATTGATAAGAGAGTGAAAACAAGAAAACCCACATCGAGATTCACGTGCAAGATGAGCCAGATCCAGGTGCTGACATGTCTGAGACGATCGATTGGGGACACGGCAGCAATCAAAGCACTGTCCAACGGTGGAGAAGAGAATATCAATAATGGCGATTAAAGGTATGAAGACGGCGCAGATTTTCTCCCCAACAGTCAAAGAACTGGATCTCTGTTTAGAGAAAGGAAGATCCAAAACATTACACAAAACCCAAAAATAGAGTAGAAGAAATTAGAAATAGGAAAATTACAGAGGAAAATCTGGGCCAGTCCATGACTCATTGAAGCACAACTCCTCTTCTTCTTCTTCGTCTAAATGATTTGGTTTTGAATCACATCATAATTTTTCCAAATCTTGAAAACAAACAAAAAGGCGCCCCTTGATTTCAGTTTTTATCAAATTATGGTGTTCCATAATTATTTTTCACATTTCTAGATTTAAATGTTACTGTCTTTTTCCCTCCCATGTGATTATTGAGCTGTCAACGGGCTAGATTGCCTCCGAATGGGCCTAACGGCGTAGACAGGTTTCTTTTTTTGGTAGTTACTGGTTATAATTTTATTTGTTCACGTAGACACCTAAATATAGCTGTATGCATCCGTGACTATAATGTATTTGGCAGTAGCCAGAATGATAGATACGGAGCGGATATTCTAAAATTTTATAGTACTTGTAATATGTTCTGTTCTGTTCGGATCAACAAATTATCGACTCTGCATTAATTTGGATATTTGGTGTCTCGATAACTGATAAAATCAAAATATTTAGCCGGAAAATTTTTTAAAAATAAAATATATAGAAAATTTATCTAAAAAATTTAGTAATATTTCATATTTACTTTTTTCTTAATTTTCTTAATTTATTTAGTTAATAATTAATTTGATGTATACAAATTAATAAAAATTAGATATATAATAATTATGTTATATATGTAATTATTTATATACAGATTCCTATATATATAAATATATGTTATATATATATCAGAGCATAGCGGATATTTGGTTATTAATTTTGTTGGATTAAATTTAGTACTCCCTCCGTTTCACAAAGAGTGTCGTTCTGACATTTTTTTTTGTTTCAAAAAGAATGTCGTTTTAGAATTCCAATATAATTTTTAACATAAAATACCATTTTTAACCTCAATAAATTCAGAAAATTAATTATAAATATGATTCCAAGAGTCATTTTCTGCAAATTAATAAGCATATAAGAGATATTTTATCTTATTTCTTAATTTGTGTGAAGAATGTCATAACGACACTCTTTGTGAAACGGAGGGAGTATTTGTTTGCTTCGTAAAGTCACCAGTTATCTGGATTTTTTTTATCAAATCAAAACGGATAAAAGAATAAATATTAATTTTTTTATTTTACCTGGCCTATATTTTGCGTAGTGCATATAGAAATTGCTTCTGACTTTATCAAATAGATGTTCATTACTTCATTTACTACTTTTCTTTTTACTCAGATGATTTACGACATATATCTATATATTTACTCGTGGGGGCGCTTGATAAAAATAACTCGTACACGTCATGAGTTAAAGTTATATCTACTGCAATCTTATCTGAATTTATGAAAGCTCATTGCGAAGCAGAAATTCGAGTTGTATTCTTTGAAGGTTTCTCCATGTCAAAGAATCTTGCCTAAAGCTGATATAGATTTATCTCCTACAGTTTTTCTATGATTTAGACTGGACCGCGTTTCCACTAACTGGTCCCTTAATGCTTTTGTTGTATTACCTTGTGGTCACATATCTCAAGAAATGACGTTATAGGGATACTCAATCATTTTATCATTTGGCGTCGGCGCGTCGCTTCTTGTTTTTTTTTTTTAACAAATGTTGCGATTAAGATAGATAATGGTTTCAGAAGAAACTTCTACATATCTCTTTTTTTTTTTAAATGTGTTAAATTAGATTAAAAAAAAAATCTGTTTTCTTTACATAAGCTTTCCAAGAAAGAAATAAAAAAAATAGGATCACAATCTTAAAAACAGAGGAAGAACTTTAAGTAAAGGTTCTCATGCTTCTCCTTTATCTTTGAGTCCATTCCCTCATTATAGCGTTAATTACCGGCACACAATGCTCTCAGACGATTGCGTACGTTTTATCCAAGGCACTATCAAACTTTGTGCTGAATTTGGGGCGTCTCCAACGACCATTACGTTCCCTCCAAATCGAAGTAAGTGTAGCTTGGAAAAAATATCGCACCACAAATAATTTTATCTTGCCCAAACTGCTCGACAATAGAAGAGCAAATAATCTCATACCACTAGTTCAAATAGTGATCCCCTAGCAATCCCATATTTAAGTTTCCCAAATCTGCTGCGAGAAAGACATTCATAAAATAGATGTGCTCTGGTTTCCATTGGATCAGAGCAAAGAACACAAGCTGTTGAAATGCCCTGTCTCTGTTGAACTATTCATTCTCCTGTGGACATGCGATCCAGCATTGCTAGCCATGTTATAAATGCAAATTTGGGTGTTGTATTTTGAAACCAAGCAAATTTTGATGTTGCATTTTGAAACCAAACTGTATAACTCCACGCCTTACGAGTTTCAGAGTATCTGATGTTGGGCCAAGTAAAATTTCAATAAGAAATTTGGACGGTACAGACCATTTTTCGTGCTCTACAGTGACTGATCCTCTCTCTGATTTCGATGCTCTTCTGCTAAACAAAATATTACATTGAATAGAGTTAAAGACATCACGTCGTAATAACAGAGATGAAAAGGATTTCTGTATATCTCATTCACAAGAAGGATACCTTTATATATACAAGAGAATATCAAAGCTAGTTAATACAAATGGTAGTCAAACACAGATTCTACGGTACTAATTGATTCATTCCTTGATTGAGGCTTTGATTGAGTCGCTAATCATATGGGATATGATGTAGGACTAACTGATACGGTATTACCCTCCCTCAAACTGGAACATGCAGGTTGTGGATGTCCAGTTTGCTTCAGAAGTCATCGAACGCAGCTCGACCAAGGGGTTTAGTACAAATATCGGCCAATTGAGCAGTCGTATGAACATGATTTAGCACAAGTGTACCTGACTGTAGCTCATCGCGCACAAAATGACAATCATTTTTGATGTGTTTCGTCCGTTCATGAAACACCGGATTAGTAGCGATGTGAATAGCAGATTTACTATCACAGAAAACATGGATTGGTTGGTCATATTTGATGCCCAACAATGTTAGAAGACGCTTGAACCACAAAAGTTCTTTTGTATGAAAAGCCAATGCTCGATATTCAGCTTCGGTAGAAGATTGACTAACCGTTTTTTTGTTTCTTTGTTTTCCAAGAAATTGGAGAATCAACAAGCTGTACAATATAGCCACTTACGGAGCGCAGTATAAGTGGACAACTCGACCAATCAGAGTCGCACCAACTCGTTATCTGAAAATCCTTCACCGCCTTCAACAAAATCCCTTGTCCCATGCTGCCTTTCAAATACCATACAACTCGCAGATCCGCTTGCCAATGATCTGCCTTTGGTGTTTGCATAAACTGGGCCAGAATATGTACACAATATGCCAAATCCGGTCTGGTTACCGTCAAATAGATCAACCTGCCAATCAATCTTCGATACGGCTGAGGATTTTCTAGCAATGGTGAAGTTGAAAGAGCAAGTTTGTGGTTTTGTTCCAACGGAAACGCAGCCGGCTTTGCTCCTAGAAGTCCTGTTTCTGTGACAATCTCCAAGGCATATTTTCGTTGACTAAGATAAAAACCTGTTGAACTTCGAGAAACTTCAATACCCAGGAAAAATTTCAACGCACCTAGGTCTTTCATCTTGAAGCAGGAAGAAAGATATCCTTTAAATATATCCAGCGCTTCATGAGAATTGCTTGTAATAATCATGTCATCGACATAGATGAGCTCATTAATCTGAATACCTCTCTTGTCGAACGTAAACAGAGAATAGTCCAAAAGTGATTGCTGAAACCCATAGTCTTGCAATGCAGTTTTCAACTTCTCAAACCAGCACCGAGCTGTCTGCTTTAACCCATATAACGATTTTTGTAATCTGCAAACTTTGTTTTCATCAGTTGAGTAAAAACCAGGTGGAGGTTTCATATATACCTCCTCATGAAGATCGCCGTGTAAGAAGGCGTTGTGTACATCCATTTGATGTACTGGCCAATTGTTCCCGACAGCCACTTGCAAAAACAAACGTACGGTTTCCATTTTTGCAACTGGTGCAAAAGTCTCTCCATAATCTTCACCTTCTTTTTGATTGTTCCCGAGCACCACCAGACGTGCTTTATACCGCTCTATGGATCCATCTGACTTGAGCTTGATTTTCTAGACCCATTTTGATCTGAGGGTTCGTTTTCCTTTCGGTAAGTCCACAAGTGTCCAAGTTTGATTGCTTTCCAGGGCTTCTATCTCATTCCCCATAGCTTTCCTCCAAACTCCCTTGACAACTGCTTGTTTGAACGTCTTGGGTTCATCAAGAGTTATAACAGCTGCCATATATGCTCGGTGTGTTGCAGAAAATGGATCGCAGCTCACATATTTGTCAATTGGATACAATGACTTGCCTTTGAAGTTTCCCAGAAGCGTACTTTGTGCTGTATTAACAACAAAGTTGCGAAGAGTTACCGGTTTTGTCTTTATCCGTTGACCACGACCTAGCAAAATTTCTTGCGGTGGTGGTGATAGAATCATGGAACCGGAGGGAGCAAAGGACGATGAACAAATCGAGGTTCAGGCCGGAATAAAAGATCAAGTGGCCGACCTAAGCGAAGTCGAGGTTCAGGACGGGGCACAAGACCAAGGAGCCGACCTGAACGACGTCCTGGCCATGCCAACTAGACCAATGACCAGGTCGCGTATCAAGAAGCTTATCGGAGCAATCCAGCGAGTTCTCACCGAGCTAAGGAACCAAGGCCGAGCTGACGACCCAACACCCGTTCATAAAGTCATGACCGTCATCATGTACTCTGGTCCGAACTGACCTGGTTGGGGTGTTGTCTTAATACTCTTTTTCTTTACATTCGGTTTTGTCCCACTGGGTTTTCCGAATGGGGTTTTAACGAGGTTAAGGCACACCCATCTCACGACCACGGTTCGATTCGCGACCAAGTATAACGGTCAAGGAGCTGAAAAGTCTAGCGAGAGGATGCGAAGGGTCAGCTGGAAGTCCGATCGTTATTCAACATATTTCTAGTTTCATTTAGTTTCATATAATGTTCTTTTAATTCTCTGTAAGACCGATGGTCTCCCTCTAGCCTCTATATAAAGGCAACAATGTACTCATTCTCATCATCACTTATCTTTTTATAAAATTTCTTTTTGAGTTTTCTCTTTTGTTCTCTAAGAAATTTTCGATATTTGGTGGTTAGCCATTGATCGATTTCTAGTTTATCAAGTAGATTCACCCTGCTTGACGCAGCCTTCGTTTACAAAGTG